TAGTTTGAAAACCACAGACACTTTAGAGTTATAAATCAATAGCAATTGTAACAACTCTTTCCTCCTTTTTATAAGTTTCAAGGTAAAAAGAAAGGCCCAACAATATAAGATCCTTACTGTGTTATTTATGGACCGCCTTTTAGGGAAGCAGATAAAAATGTTGCAGAATAAACATAACTGCTTTGAACTACATTTCTTTAAAAAGAAAAAGAAAAAAACGGGAAAAAATTACAGAGCATTTCATACTCAAATAGTTGTCCATTGTGCTCTGAAATGCTTACACTGAGGAATAAAAAGGTCTAAGGATTCATTTCCTGAACACAGAAGAAAAGAGGCCCAGGAGACTGGGTGGGCATGTGTGCTTGCACTCACCAATCACACACACTCATACATACTCACACATACACACTGACTCATACACACTAACTCACACGCACATGCACATACATACACACACACATACATACAGTCACACCCACTCATACATACACATACTCACACATACACGTGTATACACACTCACACACACACATACACATACTCACACATTACTCACACGAAGGCACACAGGCACCCAGCAGTAGGGGAGGACAGAGGGGCCAGAACCACTCCTCATATTATCAGGTCAGTCAGTGTCTGGAATCTGATGATCTGGATTTTCCCGCCTGTTGGACACTCAGGACCAGGCTGCCCAGCACAAAAGCCCTTTGTGTAGATGATGGATTTCCCCAAGAAAAAACTACTGAACGCTTCCTTGACAGGGCCGTCTTTGTGCAGCATCTGCGTTGAGGTGGGACTAGAGACCCTGAGCTAGGCTTTGCCTGGAATTGCTGACTTTATAATTGTAGATGCACGGTGGCTCTCCCCAGCTTTTTCTTGTCTCTGGAAGTCACTCCTTGCAGTTGATGCCTTTAGACTCCACAACTTGGATTCGCTGCTGATTCACATTTGATCTGTATTTAGTTCAGATTTCACCCACTGATACAGAGCCTGCTTCTAATCCTGAGTCACTCCCCAGCAATTGTCTGGGATGTTTATCATTAGGGAGGTCCATTAACTAAATTCACTGTCATTATACTCACAACAATTAGATTTCCAGAGCCCAAGATACATGCAGAACAGGCTTTTTTTTGTTTGTTTTTTTAATAGCCTCATCAATAATAGGGGTTATTTCTAAGTTTCTGCTAAAATTCTTATTTGTGTACCGTTTAGTGTTCCTTTAGCATCTGGCCAGACTGGAATAACTTAATAGTCACATCCAGTTTCTCAATTCGGTGAAGATGCACCTTTCTAGAATTTGCCACGCAGATTCTACTCTCCTTAAGAAAACCCATTTGAAAGGAACTGTAACCTTAAATATCTGAGCAGGAACATTTGATGCAGTGGAAAGAGCACAGGGTTGGGAGCTTGAAAGACCGGAGTCTCATGTCAGCTTTGCTCCTTAGTGGCTGTGTGACCTCACCCGGCACATAATAGGCACACAGAAAACACTCGTTAATTAACAGATGAATGAGATGTAGGGTTTATAATGAAAGCCAACGGTACTTTTCTTTGCAGAAATTTACTTCGGAAAAATCTTTTCAAAGTGTATCTATCCTGTAAAGAAAGGACTACTCGTACATTTTCAGAGAAATGAAGTTTTGGTATATGAACTCTTGTTTAGGAATACTGCTAATGTTAACACATCTATGCATTGAAGAGTGTGTGTGTACGTGCGCGCACGGGGGCGCTCGCCCTGGGAAGCAAGCATGTGCGATCCTCTAATTTATGTTCACTCCTAATGCTGTTTCATATGTGCAGGAGCTCACAGGCAAACTGCCAGTTGAATACCCCCTGGATCCAGGGGAGGAACCACCCATTGTTCGGAGAAGAATAGGGACTGCCTTCAAACTGGATGAACAGAAAATCTTGCCCAAAGGAGAGGTGCGTCCTTCCTTTCAGTTGCTGGATTATCTCACATTCTCCTTGTTTTTCCCACTTGTCAGTGCTTTCAGGTTTTTTATAAGAAATTCTTCATCTCTACCAAACACCAGAGTTGTTCTTTTCACCACCTCTTGAGTCAGCTGATTAGTCAGTATGTGTTTCCCCTTTGATGGGATTAGTTGGCTTGCGTAAGTAAGCATTTTAATTTCGGTTGAAGTTGTTTGTCTAACCTATGACTACGCCTATCACAAGCAGCTAAGCTCAGGGAGAACATTCCAATAACACTAATACACACTTATCTTTTTAATGGTCACCTAGCCCTTTGTTAAAGGAGTCCTGGTGGCTACTAATGGAAAGGTAAGTGGTTCAAACCCACCCAGCTGCTCCACGGAAGAAAAGACCTGGAGATCTGCTCTGGTGAAGGTCATAGCTTAGGAAACCCTATGGGGCAGTTCTGCTTTGTCACATTGGGACACTATGAGTCAGGATTGACTTGACAGCGCACAACACACACACAGCCCTTTGTTACGCAGACCCAGGTATAAAAAAAAAACAGCCCACTGTCATCGAGTCAATTCCGACTCACAGCGACCCTATAGGACAGAGTAGAACTGCCCCATAGGGTTTCCAAGGCTGTAATCTTTCTTCATGGAGCCGATGGTAGGTTCGAATCACCAATTTTTTGGTTAACAGCTGAGTGCTTTAACCACTGTGCCACCTGTGTGTGTGTGTGTGTGTATAAATACCTATATATAGGTATTTATATATATGTATATGTATATATTTTTCTATATATATGTGTATGTATTTTATTTACTTGGTTGTTGTTATTGAGAATATACACAGCAAAACATACACCAATGCAACAGTTTCTACATGTACAATTCAGTGACATTGATTACATTCTTCCAGTTGTGCAGCCATTCTTACCCTCCTTTTCTGAGTTGTTCTTCCCCCATTAATGTAAACTCACTGCCCCCTAAGGTTCCTCTTTAATCTTTGGAGTTGCTGTTGTTACTTTGATCCCATATAGATAGTTCTTATAAGAGCACAATGCTCAAGCCAGACATTTTTTTACTACTTAAGCTAAACTACTGTTTGTTTTTTCAGTCGTCTAAAAAAAAGAATGAGAAGAAATTGCTGTTCTCAGGTAATAGCTGCAGTAGGGTTAGCATGAGGGTGATTGCAGAGGGGAGACCAGTGCTCTGGGGCCAGTGCGTGTAGTGGGCAACCCAGCCATCAAAGGTCCCCAGGGCACACCAGAATGCTTCATCTAAAATTAAAGCCACACCAGGCAGTTTTTCTCTTCTGTAAAATGAAATTCATGCTCCTTATTTGTTTGGGGTGTCACTAGGATTAAATGAACTAGTATCTGGAAAACATTTAACTCTGCCCTTGTCACCTGCTCGATGCCCCATGGATATTAGCTGCTTCAAGTGGAGATTAAATATTAGAGAGGAGGTGCAGAGTTTTAGTGGATCCAGAATTTATCCGAGTTAGAACCGGAGATGAAGGAGGGTGGGATTTAGGATAGTATTTTTATGATTTATTTGATTATTTTTCAAAGCTGATTGATCATCAAGATTGCCTGAGGAAATCCAGCTCCCCCTGTGGCTGGGCAATTATCTGGCACTACATTTTTCAAAAGCAACCCCATTTTCAGTGAGTAGCCTCCAGCCCACATTGTTCTTCATGCCCTCCCACTGGACCTTCTCACCAGTGACTCCTTCACATGTTTCAGTAAAGGATGACTTTAGTTCCTCAAGAATTCCATTTGCATCACTGTCTTTTTTACCTGCTTTGGCCTGTTATCTTTCCTCGATTAATTAAAAGAAGTACTACAAAATTAGCTGGTATTCTGCAGAGTTTCTCTGGGGAAGGAAGAAATCTTCCTTGGCTCTTATTGCTGCTCCACATTTCTCCTGGAAGTGCACTGTGCTTCCTCGTTTGTACAACAGGCAGCCATCTGGGCAGATGGCGTTCGGCCTTGGATTTGTGGTAGTGTAAGTAAGGGAGTATTTGTCCTAGGCTCCCACAAAACTTTGGGTCAGTGTCTTGGACCATGGCTATCGTAACAGCCCAGGAACAGCTGCTAGGTGGAGTCAAAGCTCACAGAACGGCCTTTGTCCTTGGTGCCTTGTTTGTTTCGAGACCCTGGGCGGGAGTCCATTTTGATATTTTCTCCCTCTGAGAGAACAAATACAGCACTGGAAGGAATTAGAAGGAATTTATTTTCTCCTAAATAGTTCCATTTAACCTTCACCTTTTCTTCTCACTCCTGATCCTCACTGCTTTCAGGCTTAAAGTGCTCAAAAGTAAGTAAAAATCAAGGTAAGAATTTTGTCCTTGATGGTAACATTCAGCCTGGCCAATTGTACCCAGAGGCAAGAATGTTGTATTCAGCTATGAAATGGGAAGATCTGTCCATTCCAACAAACATAGATACCTGCTCCTAATTGCTTAGATCAGTTCTTATAGAACTTTAATGTGAATATGAATCCCCTAGGGCAAGACGCTTAGTCTCTCCTGGCCTCACTTGTCTGTGTTTGGAAAAGCCATTGTTGCATCTGTCATAAGTTTATTAGGTCTGAGGTTAAGGCATCTCCTGCAGGCTCCCTGGTGATACCCATGCTGCTGGCCTCTGAAGTTGGAGGAGCAAGACATTAGCCCACTGCTCAGCATCTTAACCTTAAGTGTTTGACCTGAGGGATTTCACTGGGGAAAAGAGGAAATAGAGCAATGGACAACTTGGCAATTCACCCACAATCCTCACGCTCACCCCTAACCCTACCCCACCCCCCAGCCCCGGCTGGCAGTGTCTATGTACCCTGCAGAGGGAGGAGACAGTTGGTCGGCAGAGAGGCCGGCAGCTAATTTGCTGTCCAGCGTTTCCTCCTCTGGGTCCACCAGGCATTGTTCTGGCAGCTACAGCTTCTTTATATCTGGGACCAAAACTCTCTGAGGGAAAATTCTTCCATCTACTCCACTTGGTCTAAGTAAGACAGAGACAGGGAGGAAGCTTATAAGAAGGAAGGGAGAGGACAAGGCCCTGAAGCACATCCAAGGAGCCCTGGTCACACAATGGTTAATCCCTTGGCTACTAATCAAAAGGTTGGCAGTTTGAACACACCCAACGGCTCCACAGGAGAAAGACCTGACGATCTGCTTCCTTAAAGATTACAGCCTAGAAAACCCTATGGGGCAGTCCTACTCTGTCACATGGGGTCACCATGAGTCGGAATTGACTCGACAGCACACAACAGCAACAGCAAGGGAAAACTGGCTTCACCACTGTCCCTCATGGTGCGCCCAAATCACAGCCCGAGCAGAGCTTTTAGGAATAGGCAGGGGTGAGAAGAACAGCTGGAGCCTGAAGAAAGAGCTTCGAAAGGTACATGGGTGCGTGGGGACATGTCCCAACTAGAGGGGCACCAAATATGTGAGACAGCAGGCATGTAAGAAAGGCAGTGTGCTGTAGGGTAGGGGGATGCAGCAGACCCACAGAAAAGAATGACAGGAAGATAGCTATAAAAATAATGCTGCATCCTAGGCCTGCCATGGAAAGGAAACGACCTCCAAATGGGCTCTGAACTTCAGGAAGGTTTGTCTTCATAAGCTCTGCTGAAGATGGTAGAAATGAAGCCAAGTGATCCCAAAAGATGCAGCTTGAGAGCTTTCTGCTTCTTAATGGTGATGCTAGTGTATGGACCAGCACTTGTCTCCAGAAAGCCATAGGGACCAGGATTCTCAAAAGTGGGTGTGCCTATATTATCAGCCATAAAGGGAAATGAAGTTCTGATGCATGACACGACATGGCATTACGCTGAGTGAAGTAAGTCAGACACAAAGGGACAAACACTGTATGACCCCACTTACATGCAACTATTATCTAGAACAAGCAACAGCACAGAGACAGTTTATTGGAGGTTACCAGGGGCTGAGTGGAGGGTAAACGGGAAGTTATTCCTTAAGGGGTACTTAGTTTCTGTTTGGGGTGATGGAGAGCACTGAGAAATGCATAGTGGTGATGGTTGCACAACATGGAGAATGTAATTAATGTCACTGAAATGTACACTTAAAAATGGTTAAAATGGCAATTTTTTTTTGCTATATATATTTTACCACAACAAATTTTTTTTTAAAAAAGGAAAAATTACAGATTAAAAGAAAAAAAGTAGGTGTGTCCAGGCCACTCAGCTTCAGAGGTCTTAGGGCCACTCTCTTCCCACAGCAGGGCCAGGCAAAGTTGGTGTTAGACACTGGCATTGCTGGTCTCCTGAAGAGTAAGGTACAGGGGCAAGGGGCAGGGAGGGCCGGTGTCTTTCTGCTCAGCATCCTCAGTAAGCCATGGCTTTCCCTCCTACAGGAAGCTGAGCTGGAACGTCTGGAACGAGAGTTTGCCATTCAATCCCAGATTACAGAGGCTGCCCGTCGCCTAGCCAGTGACCCCAACGTCAGCAAAAAACTGAAGAAACAAAGGAAAACCTCTTATCTGAATGCCCTGAAGAAGCTACAGGAGATTGAAAACGCAATCAACGAGAACCGCATCAAGTCTGGGAAGAAACCCACCCAGAGGGCTTCGCTGATCATAGATGGTCAGTGCTAACCCCTCACCCCACTCCCACCCATGCTAGGGACTGAAGGAACCAGGCTCAAGGTCCCGGGAGTGGTTCTAGCCCAGCTTCCTGCAGGACTTAAGCAAGTTACATAACCACCCTGTGCCTTGGTTTTTCTATCCATAAAATGAAGCTAATAAGGCCTGATACCAGATGAGAGCGATAAAGTGTACACAGATCCACGCATGAAAGGAATTATACAAATCAAACTATCATTATCACTATTTACTGCTCCCTGGGAGAAGTGTAGTGATGTGCTAAAGGCTCTTCTCAGCCCTCAGCTTGAGCTGAGCCAAGTTAGCTGCACAAGCCTAGCCTCAAAGGGGAGGGGCCCAGCTCTGACATTTTCAGGGGCCTGACCACCCCTGCCCAAGCCTGGAAGGCAAGGTAGGGTGCTCACACAGGCCCTGCAGGCTAGCACTTCTTCCAACCCTCTGTCCCCTCAGTCTGACTGTTTCCAGGGGCCTCCTATCCCCCCGGTTGGAACTACCTCCATCAAGAGCTGAACCTCGGGAGGACTAGACTGCCCCACTCTGACAGTCTAGAGCCCTCAGCCAGGGTCAGTCAGGGGTTAGGTGTTTGGGTGATTATATTTGGTAAACAGTAGAAGGAAATACTCCAAAATCCATCAACAAGCATAAAGTCCTCCAAACTGTTATATTCCCTTTTTTCTAAGTCAGCAAATTCTTTAAAATACAGATATCAAACATTTGTTCATAGTTTTATGCATGCTTTATGCATGTTTAAGATACTTTTGTGCTAGGAAATTAGGAGCAACCATCTCTCCCTATCTCACCCTGTTCTCAGTCGTGACTGTGTAACTTTATCCCCCCACTTTCTAGTGGAGTTGCATTCAGCCCTGTCCTTGTTTGTCTTCTGGCTGGTTTCATACCTCTCTCTGCCCCCTCAAAGGTGCTTGGGGGTTCCTGGGGGTCCTGAGGAAACATCCCACAGGGCCACCACGGGGATGAACATCTGGCTGGTTTGCCACAGGAGAAGCTGCTTTTCCAGGCCGCTAGGATGGGCTCTCCTGTTAGGACTGCCAACAGAGTCCAATTTTCAGTCATTATCCGTCCAACGGGTGATTCATCCCTTCCAAGCCCACCGCCATTTTTTTTTTTAGTAGCTCAAGAATATACCTTCTCTGTTTTGCTGTCTCATTGAAATAACATTTTCATTACAAGGGCCCACTTGATTTGGAAAAGTCATTAGGGTTCTCCTTGGTTCCTTAGCATGTTTTTTTTTTTTTTAATTTTTTTAATTTCAAGAGCTTAGAATCTGAAGACCTGGGATCTTTTCCTAGCTTTGCCAGGAGAGCAGAACAACCTCAGACTAACCACTCTTCCCTAGGTGTATCTCAGTTTCCCCAGCAGTTAAAGAGGGAGGACTATTTTACTGTCTCCCTCTTGGGCATGTTCTCATAGTTAATTGAATGGTGTCTATAAAAATAAGCTTCTGAAAGACAGAGGCTGTACTTAGCATGCTTGTTGACTGTACTAATGACTTACGAAGTTTATTGAGAAGCCATTTAATGCCATAAAAGCAAAGCAAAGTTCCAACCCTAGTTTCGTATTTGTAAGAATAAATAGCAGTTTACTTCCTTTGGTTTAGTTGGTACATGCCCTGGGTTTGTGCTGGGGCAATAATGTGGTTTAACCAGGACAGGGTAGCGTTTATATTGGATATTCAGCTACTCTGCATTGCAGTATGAAACGAGCACAAGTACAAAATTGCTGAGGCTTTGCAATGGCAGAGGTGGGGAGGATGAGTCCCACCACAGTGACTGTCAAAAGAAATGCCAATGGCAAATATTGTGGTGTGTATATTTTCACTATATAAAAAAGAAAGAAATGCCTAACAGCATTTTTATGGATTATTTCTGCTTAGAAAGAGAAGGAGATGGAGTGGTGGCAAACACCCTATTTTTACAGATAAGGTTTTGCCTATGGAATGTGCTAAACTCATGGACTTTTGCTTTTTGTCTTCTCAGATGGAAATATTGCCAGTGAAGACAGCTCCCTCTCAGATGCCCTTGTTCTTGAGGATGGTAGGTTACCCATGTCCTGCTTGAACACTTGGAGCACAGATTAAACTGTATGTAGTCTGAGGACAATGGTGGTTCAGTGGTAGAATTCTTGTATTCCATGTGGGAGATCTGGGTTCAGATCCAGCCAATGCACCTCCTGTATGGCCACCACCCATCTATCAGTGGAGGCTTGTGACTGGGCAGTGTTTTGTTCCATTGTGCATGGGGTCGCCATGAGTTAGGGCCAACTCAATGGCAGCTAACAACAACAGTCTGGGGACAGTCCTGTGTAAAGGCAAAAGTCAGGTCAAGATGGCAACCCGAATTCTCTGCAAGCTCTCTAATTTCCTGATATTGGCATACTTGGTAGTGGTGGTGTTTATTGGGATTCTGAGGCCGTGAATGGTGCTTCCTTTTTTAGTAACCAAAATCACATTTTTAATTAAACAAAGAATGTAAATACCGTGCATAGTTTTCTTCTGAATAGTCATAATTTCTGGAGTAGAGAGGTAGAAATTGATTTGTATCAGAACATTGATTTGTATTGAAACCCACCCCTGGGGATGATAGCAAGGAACAAGACAAAGCTTGACTACGTATCTGAGACTATATGAAAATGAAAGGGGGAAATGTCCCTGTCAATGCCTGTTCAGGCCTTAAAAACTGTCTTATTATTTCCCATTGCACTTTAAAAACCTAGCAGTTATCAGGATATTTTCTTGGGAAATTCTTAGAACAATAGAACTCCCTTCCCTGCTCGCATATCCGAAGAAAGAAAGAATTCAAAAAACACGGAACTATCTCTAAGAATGTTCCTGTGGATGTTAAACGAGAACTTGGGAGGCAAGGGCACTAATTATATGGAAATATATTAAGTGGCAGTTAATTTTTTTGCCCTTTAGGAAACCTCAGGCTGGCAGTGATAAGTGGCTGTTCAGATGGAAAACATAAAAGGTCTGCCCAAGTCATAGTAATAATGATAATTGCAATAATAATAATCATTGCCACTGAGGTGGGGAGAGCCTGGTGGGTTATTTACGCAGTCGTCTTGGCCCTGCTATTAGAAGTCAGATTGTAATATTTTTATTGTCTGCTTTGTTACCTGGGTGGGGAGGAGGTAGGCTATAGGGGAGCAGAGAGGCTTGTGGACTGGATGGCAGTTTAATGTCCGTGATCGCAGCCATGCTGTTTGCCTCTGTGTACCGCAGTCTCCCCAGGGGAAGGGACAATAACAGTTTAGTGATTCCTTTGTAATGAAAGAGTTGGGGAGCAACATGTAGTGTCATTAGCTAATTTTGATACACCATTTGTGATTACAAAGTGTCTTCCCATGTCCCAGACCCCCCAGACCTCCTAAGAGGTGTTAGTGCTTCACTTTGTACCCTAAACTCACATTGCAGGCTCTCTTTCTAGGGACTCTTCCCTTTACTGAGTTGAGGTGCAGAGGAGAAGGGGAAGTACTGAGTTTGCTAAGGTTTCCAGGTTGGGGGATGGAGAATTAGGCTGTGAAAAGAATGATAGTTGGAAGTGGATTTAGGGTCCAGTGAAAGATGGTTGGGTTTTTTGACATTTGCTTTTGTGTATTTTTCCCCTCAAATTCTCACCTTTTCCTGAATTTTTGCTTCCTTTCTCTTCTCAGTGCCACCTACCCTGGGTTCTCATCACTAGATAGCTTCACTAACCCCCTCCCTAGTCCTCTCCCTGCCTTTCACATGTTTTAACCTGGCCAGATTAATATTTCTAAAACAGTCTTTTCCTCCTGACACATCATGCTTAACAGCTACAAAGTTTTCCCGTGACTTTTGGACCGAATCCTAACTTCTTTAGCCTGGAATTCAAGGTCCTCTGTCAGCTGGTGGTGTTGTTATGAGGTGCCGTGGAGTTAATTTCAATTCACAGTGACCCCATGTGACGGAGTAGAACCGCCCCCATAGGGTTTCCTAGGCTGTAATCTTTACAGAGAACCCCTGGTTGCATAGCGGTTAAGCGTTCATCTGCTAACCGAAAGGTCGGGGGTTCGAACTCACCAACTACTCAGCAGGGGAAAGATGTGGCAGTCTGCTCCCGTAAAGATTACAGCCTTGGCAACCCTCTAGGACAGTTCTACTCTGTCCCATAGGGTTACTCTGAGTCAGAATCAACTCAGTGGCAAAGGGTAATCTTTACAGGAGCACATCGCCAGGTCTTTTCTCCCAAGGAGTGGCTGGGTGGGTTGGAACCACTAACCTTTTAGTTAGCAGCCAAGCGCTTAACGAGTGTGCCACCAGGGCACCTTTTATTAGCTGAGACACCTTGGTTATTACACACACAGAAGTAGGTCTGTTGGCTTGACCACAATTCCTCGCTGTCTCCCTCTGCTCCTCCTCATTGGCCTCTGCCCCAGCTGGGCATCTCGTTGCTGCCCTCACACCCCACTTCACCACCTCCATGCTTTGGCTCGTGCTCCTTCCTACCTCCTCTCTGCCAGTTCACTTCTGATTCCCTCCAGGGCCAGCGTCTTCCACACTCCTTCCTTACCTAACTGACTGTGCTTTGTCCAAAAGCCCTATAGCACATTGATTTGTTAGACTATTAGTCTCCTGAAGACAGGAGTAATCTTTTATTAATATTTCGTATTTGCAACCCATCTTCTTCCCAAAGAATTTAAGGCAGTTTCAGAATTAAAATACCACACAGGAAGATATTAAAAGACAATATAGTTAGTTCTTCTGGCTAACAGAAAGCAGATAGAGTACTGTATTTTATGCAAATAACATGTGCCTTCTACATTTGTTTTCCAACCGTGTCCTCCCCCTGCAAGGTATTTTTGTAAGTGCCACTATGCCAATTTCTTTTTACATGTTGCTGTAAAAACATGTAGATAGCTAGAACCACCAGCAGATAATTACACTCCACAGATATACTGTCACTCATGTTTTCCAACAAATATTTATCAAGCACCAACTGTGTGTCAGCTAGGCACTGAGGATATAGCAGTGAACAAAACAGACAAAAATCCCTGCTTTCATGGAGCTTAAACTCCCCCAAAGCAAATCAGACACTTGATGCCTATTGAAAGAAAACTTGCAATATAGCAGTACCTACAGTTTGCTGTTTGGTATAAAGCAATCCTTTGTTTATGGTGTTTAATAAAATTCAGACTTCACTCCATTTGTGTCTAATCAACAGAGATATCTCTCTTCCCATTTAATTCTACTTGGAGTTTAGGTTTAGTTTGTTCTGGTTTGGCTTGACTTGTCCTCACTTGCCTTGGCATCTAGGGAGAGAGTCATGAGGCTCCTCAAAAGAGTGAATTTGCCTGATCTAGGGTCAGGGTGGGGGTCTGTCTCTGGTCTGGTGGGAAGGCTGGCCCTTGCTCAGTTCCTCTTCATCTTTTTGTCTTTGTGCAGAAGACTCTCAGGTTACCAGCACAATATCCCCCTTACAGTCTCCTCACAAAGGACTCCCTCCTCGGCCACCATCGCACAACAGGCCCCCTCCTCCCCAGTCCCTGGAGGGACTTAGGCAGATGCACTATCACCGGAACGACTACGACAAGTCACCCATAAAGCCCAAAATGTGGAGTGAGTCCTCTTTGGATGAGCCTTATGAGAAGGTCAAGAAACGTTCCTCCCACAGTCATTCCAGGTGAGCAGGGGCTGGCTCCAGAAAGCCAAATGAGGTCACTGTTGACGCTCTGAAAGAATCAAATGGCTGTCCCAAGTAGCACCCAGAAATTACAAAATCCACATCAACCTATTCCCTCCTTCCTGGTTTGCCTTACAACAGCACTGTATCCACAGCACCCTCTGCTGTTGGCCCTGTTGAGGTGCAGATATATCATTCAGTCTGGGTTTTGGCTCACAGCGTGTTGGCAGATGGCTTTAACGTTGTTAAATTCCACCAGAATTAATTAGGAAATCTTAGGCAGCACGATTCCAGAATGGCAAGTGAGCGTCCACACATGTGAATCCCAGAGTGGTTTGGAACGCTAAACCATCGTTCAGCAGAATTCCAGAGCCAAATGGCTGTAATCTTAGCTGTGCATTATCAGCTCATTACTGGCCTAATACTTTAGAGGGGTTTTTTGAAGGCAAAATGAAATTCTTGGTTGGCATTTTTGCTTCATTTCTCTGTTTTTATCCTTTCTTTTAATTACACCCCATAAAGCTCCAAGTGTGACTATCTGGACAGGTAAATGTTTGTCTCTTGGAAAACAAAAACTGGTTGAGGGCAGGGGTTTCCCAAAACAGTCACCCTGTGCCTGATACAGATAAGTATAATGAGAGTCTCTATCCTGTATTGGCTTGGGAGGTCAGGGACAAAGACCCTCACCAGCTACTGGGACAAAGTCTGAGAACCCAGAGTAGAGAGATGAGGGGAGGAGTCCTAGATAAGTTTTCCAGACACCAAGATTTATGTCCCATGGCTAGTCAGCTGCTTGAGAAAAGGTGCCGTTTTGTCTGGAAATGACCAGCATGGCTTCCTTTGGTTTGCAGTAGCCACAAGCGTTTCCCCAGCACAGGAAGCTGTGCCGAAGCAGGAGGGGGAAGCAGCTCCTTACAGAACAGCCCCATCCGAGTCCTCCCTCACTGGAACTCCCAGTCCAGCATGCCGTCCACACCAGACCTCCGGGTCCGGAGTCCCCACTATGTTCATTCCACTAGGTGAGTCTGCAGGCCTTTGGGCGTCTCCCTCCACTGTACCAGACCTTCCTTTGTAAAACTAGGCATTGCTGGCTACAAACTGGCCCAAAGAACTAGTGAACAAAAGTCAGGGATGAACAGGTGAGGTAATGCCACCTTAAAATGAGGCAGAATAAAAGACTGAGCTGACAGCAAGAAGCCCACTTAGCCAAGAGACCCGTTATATTCCACTGTCCACATGCACTTGGCAAGAAGTCTGCCAGGGAATCCACAGGTGCCTGGAGACAGACAGCGTGGAAGAAGCTTTCCCACTCAAAGTGGAGGCACAGAAGGCTAGCCAGGTTAGCAAAGCAAGAGCTCTGGACCAGAACCACCTCTAACCCATTACCGTCGAGTAGATTCCAACTCATAGAAACCCTATAGGACAGAGTAGAACTGCCCCATAGAGTTTCCAGGGAGCAGCTGGTGAATTCGAACTGCTGACCTTTTGGTAAGCCAGGCTCTTAACCACTGTGCCACTAGGGCTCCAGAACCACCAGTGCTGAGGCCTAAATTTATACCGGACTTCCTTTAAATGGCTCAGGATGTAAATTTATTAAAGAGCAAAAGAAATAGCAAACATTAGGCTTCAGTGACTCACACCTTTAATTTTCTGAAAAAGAAGTAAAACCAAGGTCATTCCATTTTATCAAAAACTGATTCCACAGGGGCCATACCTCAAAGGACAGGTGGTATGATCTTCCTGAAGTCACAGGACATTTTTTATTGGATAAGATTGAGCTCTCCAGGGAAATTTTCCCTTTAATTAATTAATTCATTCACCAAACACATATTTATCAAGTGCTTCTGTACACCAGGTCCTCTTCTAGGTGCTGGGGATAAAGCAGTGAACAAAACAAACCACACCCCTGCTCTCATCAGACTTAGATTTTAGTGGAGAATCAGCATAAAAAAGGAGTCTCTTGGTAGCACAAAGGTTAAATGCTTGACTACCAGCTGAAAGGTTGGTGGTTCAAACTCATACAGAGGCACCTCAGAAGACAGGCCTGGCAATCTGCTTCTGAAAGGTCACAGCCTGGTAAACCCTATGGAGTAGTTCTGTCCTGCGCACATGGGTCGGCATGAGTTGGGATCGACTTGACGGCAACTAACACCACCACCACCATAAAGAAGTAAGCAAAGAAATAAATGTCAAGTGGTGATAAATGATAAGGAAAATTAACAGGATAAGGTGCTAGAGCGTGAAGGGAAAGAGAATCTTTTAAATAGAAGCATCAGAGAAGGCCTGTCTTAGAAGGTGAAATTTGAGCAGAGAACTAAATGGGTCAATGTAGCAAGCTCAGTGGCTATCTGGGGGAAGGGCCGTCCACTGTCAGGGAATAGCAAGGACAAAGACCCCAGAGGCGCACATACACTTGGCATGTTTCGAGGAGGCCAGTGTGGCTGGATGAGTGATTGAGGAGGGGAGAGTGGTAGCGGATAGGACCAGAGAGGAACCTTAGGGCTAGATGACAGAGGGCCACTTGGTAAGGACTTCAACAGCCTGTTTTCTTTTTCCTAAGTCCGATTATTGGAGGGTCTGCTTTGCTCTCTGTGCCCTCCCTGCCCCTACCTCTCCCCTCCAAACCCCCAGACCAACCCATGCCGTCTCCCCACAGGTCGGTGGATATCAGCCCCACGCGACTGCACAGTCTCGCACTGCACTTTAGGCACCGGAGCTCCAGCTTGGAGTCCCAAGGCAAGCTCCTGGGCTCCGAGAACGACACGGGGAGCCCCGACTTCTACACCCCAAGGACTCGTAGCAGCAACGGCTCAGACCCCATGGATGACTGTTCCTCTTGCACCAGCCACTCCAGCTCGGAGCACTACTACCCCGCCCAGATGAACCCCAACTACTCCACGCTGGCCGAGGACTCGCCATCCAAGGCCCGTGAGCGGCAGCGGCAGCGGCACAAGTCGGCGGGCAACCTGGTGTCGTCGAACTCGGGGAGTATGCCCAACCTGGCGGCGCGCAACAGCGCGGGCCCGCATGGCGTCTACCTGCACAGCCAGAGCCAGCCGAGCTCACAGTACCGCATCAAGGAGTACCCGCTGTACATCGAGGGCAGCGCCACGCCCGTGGTGGTGCGCAGCCTGGAGAACGACCAGGAGGGCCACTACAGCGTGAAGGCGCAATTCAAGACCTCCAACTCGTACACGGCGGGCGGCATGTTCAAGGAGAGCTGGCACGGTGACGAGGGCGACGCGTTGCGGCTGACGCCTTCACGCTCGCAGATCATCCGGACTCCGTCGCTGGGCCGCGAGGGCGCCCACGACAAGGGGCGGGCCGCCGTCTCCGACGAGCTGCGGCAGTGGTACCAGCGCTCCACGGCCTCGCACAAGGAGCACAGCCGCCTGTCGCACACCAGCTCCACCTCTTCGGACAGCGGCTCCCAGTACAGCACCTCCTCCCAGAGCACCTTCGTGGCGCACAGCAGGGTAACCAGGATGCCCCAGATGTGCAAGGCCACGTCAGGTGAGGCGCGTGCAGGGAAGGGGGGGGGCTCCAGCCGGAGGAACCATGAGTATGTGGTCTGCCAGGGTGTGAACTGCTCGGTCGTTTCAGAGGCTTCTTGGAAGTTTCCTTAGACAATGCAGTGAGGAAAGAGATCATTAACTGTAGGAACCTTCCTGTCAGATGTGTGAGAGTTGAAGTCTTGGGCCTCTCCTTTTCCCCCTCCCATTCTAACCCTGGTTTTGTAAAATAATAAAGAGCTCAAGTTGATTGGGGAGGGGGAGCGGGAGGGAGGTGGGCGGTGCATCTGACCCTCTAGAGGGGCTGGGCCAGCTCTCGCACTTGCCCTTCCTTAGCAGAGGCGCAACCAGACTTGCAGACTCTTTTCCTTGTAAAGACAGAAATCTAAGGAAGTTAGGAGAAGCTGTGGCTCACAGTTTATCCACTCTAAGGTGCACCTTTATCCTGATGAAGAGTGCGATTGATGCTAGCAGGTTAGCGACCCAAGTGTGTACCCTTGCAAGGGAAAGCTGGTGGTGGTGGTGGGGGAGTGTTGGCTTGAGTCTTGAAGCCTTGCTATTCCACACCCACCGTGGGGCAGAATGGCTGCGGAATGAAGTGCCCAAGCTCTGCCTTTGACTTCACCAGTAATTTAACAGATAACTGGACTGTGCCCTGCTCTTCCCATTTCAATAATGGTATGGTATAACCACCAAGACATTTTTGTAAAGTGCTCTCAATACCCTGATTAAAAAAAATTTGTTGCTGTCGAGTCAATTCCGACTCATAGTGACCTTGTAGGACAGAGTAGAACTTCCCCATAGGGTTTCCAAGGAGTGGCTGGTGGATTCAAACTGCCAACCTTTTGGTTTGCAGCTGTAGCTCTTAAACACTGCACCACCAGGGATCCAATACCCTGATATTACCTGTTAAAATTTGATTATGAAACTTATATTCTTGTACTCAAGAGCACTGAGCAAGTAAAAAAAATGGAGGAAAACATCCTTTTCCTGTAGAAGTTACATTCCCTTTCCTCTCCAAGAAATGATGATAATGGTATATTGAGCAAGTACCATGTGCCAGCACTGTTCTCAGCACTAGCATATATTAACTCATTTACACACTCACATCACTAATAAAGAGAGAGGGAGACTGGTAAAGTGATAAGGAATTCTGCATCATACTGATGTAGAAAAGGAAAGTGAAGGAGGATTTTGAGACATAATGGAAGTGATAACAAGTGTACAAATAAAATGAGTCAGAGCAAATGGAAGGATTTTGACTTGTAACTGAAAAGAGGGTTGTTTAAGTGAGGGTAAAGCTCAGAAAGGGGAATGATCTTAAAGAAAGACAATGGGGTAGCTGAATTTGGGGTGCCAGGCCTCACAGCCTTCTGCCTGGCAACCTTACTGACTTGTTTATTATGGCTCATTGACCAAGTAACAAGTTTCAAGGACCAGAGTGAAAATGATTTAGGCAATCATGAATATACCATGGACTTGAAGAAGGTCCTAGAACCTTCTCCATATCCCTTCTTCACCTGTAAAACATACCCAATAAAATTTGCCATGGACTTCCCAGAAAGATTTTGAGAATGAATGGAAGAATATAGTATATGTACCATTAAAAAGTATAATACTCGGAGACCCATTAGAAGAATCACCAAAAACCCAAACCCACTGCTGTTGGGTCGATTCCGACTCATACCCACCTTGTAGGACAGACTAGAACTGCCCCATAGGGTTTCCAAGTCTGTAAATCTTTATGGAAGCAACTGCCACATCTTTCTCCTGCAGAGGGGCTGGTGAGTTCAAACTGCTAACCTTTTAGTTAGCAGCTGAGCGCCTTTAACCACTGTACCACCAGGGCTCCTATTATAAGAACCAGGGGTTTGTAAATATGAGAAACAGGAGTGTTTATGTTCTATCAAAATGACAGTACTTACCTAATAAATTTGGTTTGGAGCCCTGCTGGCGCAGTGATTAAGAGCTCAGCTGCTAACCAAAAGGTCTACAGTTTGAATCCACCAGTCGCTCCTTGGAAACCCTATGGGGCAGTTCTTCTCTGTCCTATACGGTCACTGTGAGTCGGAATCAACTCATTGGCAACGAGTTTGGGGTTTTTTAAAATAAATTTGCTTTACTTAAAGGGATTAGGTAAATCTTTGAAAACATTTTAGACTAAAAAGTTTTAAGCTGTATCTGAGGTTTACTAATGAAAAAGATTCCCTTCTCCAAGAAAGCAAAGGACGCATTTAAGTAGGATTTATGGCTACAAAATTTTTTCAACTACTATGCCGCCCACATCAATACACTTCTACTAGTCAGATTTGGGTGTTGCTTTTAAAAGCCCTGCCCCTTTCGAAGTATACTGAAGCAGCCAATTATAAGCCTGAAACAGCAGAGAGAGCAAGCTCTGAGAACCTTTCTGAAGGTCCTCTATTCATAATGAAGAGCATGATTTTAACACACTTGGACCACATCTGAAAATGCCAAGTCCAGAGAAATAGGTCCTTCCTGCATTACCCCTGTCCAGGCTTCCCTTAAAGACTGCGGTGGCTTCAGATGGCTGCTTTGCAGTCCTGATGATCCCTGTGGCAACTTCCCCACGGAAAAAGGGGGTACCTAGGATCCCAGATCAGCTAGACACAGAATCAGCTGCATGGTTTTGAGGAGAAAATGTAATTGGTGGGATTGGGGGTGGGGGCACTATCCCATTGTGACCTTGCCATGGGGTCATATCCAGCATCCCTAGAAACGGAGACTCTTGGCGCCTGGGTTCATATAGTCCAATGAGTTGTAAGTGCCTTTACCTGATCCCATTCTTCTCTCTGCCTTTCCTGCACCCCCTACAGCTGCCTTACCTCAAAGCCAGAGAAGCTCAACACCGTCGAGTGAAATTGGAGCCACCCCCCCGAGCAGTCCCCACCACATCCTAAGCTGGCAGACTGGGTGAGTTTTGTTTTCAGATCTTTATTCCTCCTCTTCCAGGTTCTAGACCGATCATCAATATTCCTTGTCAGTTAGGAAGAGGGTAGGAATGTATAAGATTCTAGTGACATAGGATTTATCAGCAAAGAATGAGTGTTCTTCATCACTGGGGGAAAAAAAGGAAAGACTGGGTACATATAACTTCTTCCTTTCAAAAGAAGCACCGTAAATTGCTGTTATCACCCATGCCTCTCATCGCCACCCCTTTATACCAGGTGAATTATATTTCCTCTTTTAAGTAGGTGGTGGCTTCTAGAACTGTGTTTCTTTGATCAGAATTTTGGACAATATTGTCCCCCATTAGATTGTGACTTCTCAGTATTTGATTTGAGTACTGACCGTACCCAGGCAGACTTTAAAATGCCAGGCAAGAATGAGAGAGGGGAGAAGGAAAACTCATATTTATTATGCACCTCCCTGTGCTGGCCCCTGGGCCAGTTGTTTTGCATGCTTCTCAGTGCAGCCAATATCTGTCTTAGTATCAGGATATGTCTTATGAAAAAGCAGGAGGTTCAGACCCCATCCCTGCCCTTGACAGACATTTGTTCTCAATCAGCAAACAAAAGGGATCAACTACTTGAGTTTCTGTTTGGGGTGATGAAAAACTCTTGGAAGTGGATAGTGTTGTGATGGTAGCACAACATGGTGACTATAACTAATGTCACTGAATTGTACACTTAAAAATGGATAAAATGGCAAAAATTTTGGTATATATATTTTACCACAATAATCTTTTTTTTTTTTTGAAGGAATCAAGTACCTTGAGACCTTTGAATAGAAGCCACCCATGAAAAATAATAAAACCAAAACTGGGCTCCTTTTATAGCTTTAAATGTAGACATGGGGCATTATAATCTAGTGAACATTTAGAATATTATGCTCTAGGGAAGAATCAGGTGGACACACCTAACCTGCTTTCCTCTGCTCTGTTGGCTCTAAGACATTGCCTCTAACCAAAAACCAAACCAGGTGCTGTCGAGTCGATTCCAACTCATCACGACCCTATAGGACAGAGTAGAACTGCTCCATAGGGTTTCCAAGGAGTGGCTGGTGGATTCGAACTGCCGACATTTTGGTTAGCCAAGCTCTTAACCACTGCACCACCAGGGCTCCACTGCCTCTAAAGTGGATGTTCAATTCTATTAATACTTATTGGTTTAAGAAGTAAGAGGTCCCTTTACCCAGCCATTTTACGACAGTTTCTAGTTTGCTGGGGATGTCTGGAAAAAGTTGACGTTTGTCTGTGAGTTGAACCATCAGAAAACAACAGGGTGCCAGAATGGACTCCACTGCCTGATTTCAGGCTCCTGGGCTTTGCCAACATTTTTCGTTCCTGCGTGTTTATCTGTAGTGACTTTAAACCAGGCTTAATGGAGCCTTAGTGTTCAATGGAAGAGAAGGGAAACTAACGTTTATTGAGTGCGTGCTGGGTACTCAAAGGCTGGGGAGCTTCTTCTAACATACATTAGGTCATATAATCCTCTCAGCGACCGTGCAAGGAAAATATCCATATCTTTTAGTTTTAGAGATGATTCTCAGAGAAAATAAGGGCCTTGCCCAAAGCCACACAGCTAGTAAAGATGGAGCTGGAACTTCAACCCCGCTGTGTGGGGCTCCAAAGCCCTGCCTTTTTCACTACACTGGTGGTTCCCAGACCTTCAGCATCAGCATCACCTGGGATCTTGTTAAACCTCTCCAGTTGTTGTTGACTCCAGCTCAGGTGACTCCATGTGTGTCCAGGGGAGAACTGTGCTCCATAAGGTTTCTAATGGCTGATTTTTCAGAAGTAGATCACCAGGTCTTTCTTTCCAAGGTGCCTCTGAGCAGCTGAGCAAGTTAACCATTTGCACCACCCAAGGACTCTGGGATCTTGTTAGAAATGCATATTCTCTGGTCCATTCATGACCTACTGAATTAGAAACTCTGGGTGTGGGGCCAAGCAATACGTGTTTTAACAAGCCGTCCAGGTGGATCTTATGTATGCCTAAGTTTGACAACCGCTAGACTTTCCCATGTTGCCTGTTATGGATTGAACTGTGTCCCTAGAAAATGTGTATCAGCTTGGCTAGGCCATGATTCCAGTACTGTGGTTGTCCACCATTTTGTGATCTGATGTGTTCTATTTTTTGAGAGTTTTTATCATGAATGGGTGTTGGACTTTGTCGAATGCCTTTTCTGCATCGATTGATAAGATCATGTGGTTCTTGTCTTTTGTTTTATTTATGTGATGGATTACGTTGATTGTTTTTCTAATGTTGAACCATCCCTGCATACCTGGTA